GACCACGGCCCTTTTGAAATTCATGCAAGAGTTCGTCCACAACAAGGCGCAGCGCCCTCCACCCCTTCCTCCCTTTCTTCCTCTTGCGTGGCTAATGCGAAAAAAGCCATGTCTAATGCACGCTTTCCCGGATCATGGTGCGAGTAGGTCACAAGCACCTCGCCATCCTCTTCCAAACACGTCTTGCACGTCCACAATAATTTTTTGTGCTCACTTCGATTGAAAATCAGGTCCGCGCACAAGATCACCTGAAACTTGCTCACTCCCCCTCCCTTTTCCTCCTGCAAAGGCGCCAGCAGACTGTTGATCGGCTGGCCCCACACGTATCCGACCGCCCTTAATACGTCGTGCGGTAAGAATGCCTGAGCCACCAGCCTGTCAATGTTCGTTTGCATGGCTGCCACCAGGACGCGGTCCGTGCTGGTGGCATAATCCGAACACACGACCCGCCTCGCCCCGTTTAAGGCAGCCAGAAGGGAAGGAAGCGCGGCCCCTGCTCCCAGCTCCAAGCAATATTTTCCTTGAACAAGGGACGGTCGACTGTCGATCATCTCCCCGAGAACTTTGGCCGCATTCCAGAGCTTGTGGCCCCACAGGGAATGGCGGCATGAAAGCAGACTAATCTCTAGTTCCAGCGGGAGGGCTGTCGGGTCTCTGCGCGTGTACGTGTGTGTGGTGAGCATGGGAGAAGAATCTTCTTCACCACTATTCTCAGCCGAAGAAGGATTTGCTTTGTCGCTCGTGGCAAAGAGGGACAGCAGCCCTTGCTCGAGCTCCCAGTCCTGCTCCTCCTCGTTGTCCTCGACCCCATGTCGGGGCACGCAAAGCTGCACCCCTTCCATCTGCAAAAAATTCTAGCGTAAAGAGATGAGGATAATGTCACTAACGGTCGTAAGGAGCAGATCAAAACTTCCGCAAACGTGCCTGGAGTATACGGCGCGCCCGGGTTTCTTTCTCCGCAGCCTGCCGGGCTGCTACCGCCGCGGTTCCCTCTTTAGGTTCCATACAATACAAAAATGTACTTAAAAATGATTCTCGCTGTCATTTGGGGCGGGAGTGGCGGCTGGTTACGTTGACGGTAAGTGCTGTCTGGCTGCTGCGATAGAAGCCCGTGGGGCCAAAAAAGATGCCCGGAGGAAGGCCTGGCTGCAACTTGCGTAAGCATCAAACCACTTGCCTTATACAGATTCATTCATGTCCCTTGCAAACGGCAATCTGCCCCTCGTTTCCATGCTTGCAATGCCTCCACACTCTCTCCTGCTCCGTTGCAAGGTTTTTAAAGGCCAGCTCGCCCTCAGCGACAGCTTGCTCGCTTTGCCTGCCAAACCGTTGTTGCCCTTGCGCTCGTACACTGACTTGTCTCTCAATCCCATGCCTCTTGCCGCTCCACACTCTCCTTTCCGCCCACACGTTTATAGGAGGCCACTGCGTGGGTGGTGTCCCAGGTGATTGTGAACGAGAACAAGCTTTCGGAGCCGGAAAGGCCGGATTGTCACTATTTTCTTGCCAACGCCACCGCCCGCTCGCCCTATCCTATTGCAACCTGCGGCACCGACGTTACTGCGTTCCATGAAGCGTGGCTGTCCTGGACTGGGAAAAAGGAACATTTGAAACTAGTTGAACGATTGCGCGTCACCATTTTTATTGTTCTAGAACGACATCAGGACATCTGCTTCGTCGGTAAGGCCGGCGACTGCCGCCCGCTGGCAGCCCCTCCCTCCTACCGGCCGTAGGGTGGTATCCCTACCAGCTTACTTTAGCCATGGACGCACAAGGCCTCCAGCAGTTAGAGTTGTTGTGCGATGCCCTCTATAATTCCAGCAGTGAATCGGAACGGCAACAAGCGCAACAGCAGCTTCTTTCCCTGCAATCGTCAGCGGAATATATACCCCAGTGCCAATACATCCTCGACCACTCCCACTCCTCGTACGCCCTCTTTGTGGCCGCCAACGCCCTCACAAAACTTATCACTCAGTACTGGAACAATTTTTCGGTCGCTCAACGTGTGGAAATTAGAAATTACGTCCTCTCTTATCTGGCCAACCAGGGTCACCAAGTGCCAGATTTTGTGACGACGAGCCTCATCCAGCTCGTCTGTCGAATCACCAAGCTAGGCTGGTTCGACGACCCCCAGCACAGGGAGCTTGTGGAAGATGTGGAGAAATTCTTGCATGCAAACGTGGACTACTGCATAGTGGGCCTGCGGATCCTAAACCAAGTGGTGGAGGAGTTTAACCTCCCGACGAGCGGGCGCACCCTCACCCTGCATCGGAAAACGGCTGTGTCTTTCCGAGACCTCTGCCTTTTTCACATATTCCAAATCTGCCTCTCCACCCTCCAGCAAGTCCAACGCCGGCAATTCGCCAACGCTTCCCCCCAACAGGAGGTGAAGATCGCGGAGCAGGCCCTCGCCCTCGCCGTTCGCGCCCTTTCTTTCGACTTCATCGGCACCAACCCGGACGAGTCGGCCGAGGACGTGGGCACCATCCAAGTCCCCAACACGTGGCGACGGCTCGTGCAAAACCCGGAGACGATGAGCCTTTTCCTCGACTTCTACAAGAACACCCAGCCCCCGTCCTCGTCCTCTGCGCTCCAGGCGGTCATCTTGCTCTCCTCCGTGCGCCGTTCTCTCTTCGCCACCGACAAGGACCGAGCCGCCTTCCTGCAGCAGCTGGTCACCGCCATCCGCGAAATCCTCCAGACCGAGCAAGGCCTCAATTTCCAGGAGAACTACCACGAGTTCTGCCGCCTCCTTGGCCGTCTCAAAGCCAACTACCAGCTCTGCGAATTGGTCCGCACGGAGGGCTTCAATGAATGGTGCGACCTTGCAGCTGCCTTTACGGTCAGAAGCTTTCAACAGTGGCAGTGGTTCGGGAACTCGATCCACTACCTGCTGGGCTTGTGGGGACGCTTGATCGCGGCCATTCCATACGTGCCGCAACAGCCCACGGGGTCGGCCTCCGGGGCGAACGGGGGTGGGAAAAACTATCGGGAAAACATGCAGCGCTGCGTCTTGCAGGTAGTGCAGTCCTACATCAAGTGCATGGTCGACTCGGTGGAGGTGGTGGTGCGCTCGGACGGGGGCCTGGAGGACCCACTGGACGACGAGGGCTCCCTGAAAGACCAACTGGAACGCCTCCCCGTCATCTGCCTCTTCCAATACCCCGCCGTCGCCCAGTACCTCATGTCCTTCTTGGACCCCCTTCTGCAAACCTACCGGGAGAAGGTCTTGAAGAACCTTTCCCCCGCCCAGCTGGCGGCGACCGCGCCCGGGGAAACCGCCTCCCAGTTGAAGATCTTGGACGGGCAATTGACCTGGTTGGTCTACGTGGTGGGCGCCATCATCGGTGGCCACACCTCGGAGATCCACGGGACGTCATCCTCCTCCTCCGACTCGGGCGCGGTCAGCCAGGAGAGCATGGACGCGAACTTGGCCTCGCGGTGCCTCCTCCTGGCTCAGGACTTCAATGTCCGGGCGCAGCAAACGGGGGGCCCCGGGCCGTGTTCGCCGCGCTTGGAGCTTGCGCTGGTCTCCTTCTTTCAAAGCTTTCGGAAGATGTACGCGAGCGAGATGCCCCACATGCTCTCCATGTCCCCGGCCTCCCTGTCCGCGGCCATACGGATGGACGCAGGCGGCGGGATGATGAAGCAAAAGGCCTACCAGACTGTGTACGATCTGATGGGACTGGGGGACCAGGTGGGGATCACCAACATCATCGTCACTAAGGTGAGAGCAAGGGAGGGGAGGCCGTGAGGACGCTTGACTTGCCCGCCCCCCCCCGCTGTGTGTCGTGGACTTGTCCCGTTTTCGCCGTGACGCCAGTACTTTCTCGACGGCGAGTTCCTTGTGCACTGGATGCCCACCATATTAAACCTCCTCTTTTTCCTCCCCCCGCCAGGTCGGTAACAACCTGAAATACTGGGGCAAGAACGAGGACGTGGTGTCCCGGACCCTGCAGCTATTCTTGGAGATGACCATGGGCTGTGGAAGTGCCAAGGTCCTCCTCTCCCTTGACCCCATCCAATACCTGCTCCACCACCACACGCCCGAGTACTTCCCTTTCCTCTCCGTCCCGGCCAACAGTCGGCACCGGACGTCCTTCCACACGACCTTGGCGCGGCTCATCCTCTCGGTGGTAGACGAGGGGACCTCGGCCGCCTTCGAGTCCTTCATGGAGCCCATCCTGCGGGTCTTGGGCCGTCTCCAAGAGACCACCGAGATGCGGACCGAGGAGGCGAAGCAGGCGGTGATCGGCGTGTGCCGGGACCTGCGGGGGGTGACGGCCGCCACCCAGAACAGGAAGGCTTACTGTGCCCTCTTCGAGCTCCTCTACCCTCAGTACTTCCCCGTCTTTGTCCGGGCGGCGGAAGTCTGGTTCGACACGCCGGAGGTGACCACGGCCCTTTTGAAATTCATGCAAGAGTTCGTCCACAACAAGGCGCAGCGCCTCATGTTCGACCAGAGCAGTCCGAACGGGATCCTACTCTTCCGGGAGGCAAGCCGCGTCCTGGTCGCCTACGGGACGCGCGTGCTCCAACACCCCTTCCGCGTGGACGTGTACAAGGAGAAGTACAAGGGTATTGCCATCTCTTTGAACGTCTTGACCTGCGCTCTCTCGGGGAATTATGTGAATTTCGGGGTTTTCGCCCTCTACGATGACCCAGCTCTCGACAACGCCTTGGACGTCGTCCTCCGCCTGGCCCTTTCCATCCCATTCCAAGAAATCTTGGCCTTCCCCAAGCTCAGCAAAGCCTACTTCGCCTTCTTCGAAGTGCTCTTCCGGAACCACATCCCCGCCGTCCTCTCCCTCTCCACCCCCGTCTTCCTCCAAGTCATCCAGGCCCAGCACGAAGGCCTCCAGTCCGTCGACCCTCTCCTCTCGGCGCAGTGCGCCTCCACCATCGACTACCTGGCCACTTACTACTACCAAAACAAATCCAAAGACCGCCCGCCCATGCGCGCCCTTCGCAACCACCTGCAGGCGCAGCCCGACGTGATCTTCACCCTCCTGTCCACGCTCTTCAATCAACTCCTCTTCGGCTCTGTCAACCACTGGGCGATCACCCGGCCCGTCCTTTCCCTCATGCTCGCCTCGGAGGAGGATTTCAACGCTTACAAGGAGCACATGATCAGCACCCAGTCCTCCCCTGAAAACCGGACTCGGCTGCGGGAAGAGTTTGCGAGGCTCTGCAACGATTTGCAAAGGAATTTGGAGCCGAGTAACAGGGAGCGGGTGGGGCAGAAATTGACTGTCTTCAGGGTTGCGGTCTCGCAGTTCTTGGCAAGTTAGGAGGGAAAGGAGATGGAGAAGTGGGAAGGGAGAGGAGGCGAGCGCGAGAGGTTTGGCGGTACCCCCTTTCCCAATGGAAGGGGGCGGGGGGAAGACATACAAGGAAATTTTTAGAAAGTCCAGAGGCCAAGCCCGACGTCCTCGACCACCACCAACCGATGCCTGGGATTTCGTGACGATATTTCCATCTGGATTTACTTTTGAAATATTTTGTTACATGACGCGCCCGAGCGCTCGCTATACCTCTTTCTGTACACTGGCGCCCAGCACGGCTCCCTCCATCCCCATGCCCCCTACTTTGTGCCCCCCTGAGATTCAGTCACGGGCACCAGGCTC